GGGGTGCCTGGCGGGGTGGCCGGCCTCCCCTCGTCCCAGGCTAGCCTGGCTAGGTAGATGGTTCCCGGCTGCTGCAGAGCGCAGACCTCGCCGGGTCTCTGCCACCATGCTTCCGACGATCCCAAAGCACTGCCTAATAAGCCCTTCTAATTCCCTGGAGACCTCAAGCTGCTGGGTAGGTTTGCACAGCCAACAGCTAGCTGGGGTGACTGTCGGGGCCGCAGCCGAAGCCTGCGGGTGAGCAGAGCAGGCAGCAGCCTGACAACCACCCTTCTCACGAGCCCTTCCATGCAAACTTCCACACTGCTCCTCTCAGATGATGCTCCTTGTTTGCATGCCCTGTTTGCGGCGCTCCTGGTTGCTGGAGCTCCCTAGGGGCTGGTTATATGTGGCTTCCCAAGGTTTGAACTGGCCGCGGGGACAGCCAGCACCACCCGGCATCTACACGTTGTAGATGAGGTACAGAGTTGGGCATATATAGTGCTGCTAGCTAGTGTGCTATATAGTTGGGCGTAGTATAGTGCTGCCAGGTTTGAAGTAGAAAAAGTTGCAAAAACATTCATCTTGAGTGAAATAGGAATATAAAAAAGCAGCACACGACTTAGTAGTGTTACTTTATACTGGTCCTGTTGAATACACTGGCAACTTTCCATCAGCTGAGTGCTTACTGTGTATAATATCTGATAGCGTGGATCCTCAGACCTGTGAGGAGAAATGCACTGTATCAGCGGACACTTCTGTGTAAAGTGACAGAAAGACCTGATCCACTAGTAAATGCTACAGTGGATGTGACTGTGTGAGTGAGCAAAAGTTGCAAGTCCTTGGTCTGTTCCAAGTGTATTCAGGAAAACCCGAATCAGTATTGGCTAGTTTTACAGCAAACTTCCCATGACAGTCATGGAAGCTATCCCCTCATGAGAGTGACAAGAATAGCCCTATAATTTTTACACCTGAAGTGCTTTTACCATAAAATGAATTCTTTGCGTGTGGAAACGAGCAAACCAAGAAAGAAATGAAAAGCCTACCAGTGCAGGCAGGCATTGTTTCCAAAATTATTACTATGGCTCTGACTCTGTAATCAATGCTTACTCTGGTCATGTGACTTCAGCAGCAGCTATATGGTATGACTGCAGGATCAGACCTTGTCTTGAAGTCTAGCCAGCTATAGAGATATTTTAATGGACTGTAAATTGAAGTAATTAACTGGTGAAAAACTGCATACTAAGAGAGAGGCTGTTTGAAAGGCTGTACGTCTCTCTCTAATGAAATGGATTTCATTGTTTTACAGGCATTTTTAACTGCCGTAGGAGACAAGAACCGTAGGGCTGTCCTTGCATTGGAACATATGTTTGCACCAGTGTTGGATGGAGCTGTGTCCACTCTGTTTGGAGTGTTGATGCTCGTAGGATCAGAGTTTGATTTTATTGTCAGGTAAAGCATTTGTGTGTCTTGACTTCTTTTTTTTTTTAGTAAAAATAAGTATGCTTTTAATATTTAGTCATTTCAGTGTATCTGTCATTTTATTACTATGTATGGTGTGTCAAGCATGCTTACGTCATGGTCCTGTTTCCCCTATGTTTTATTAACTCCTTGTCACATGCTAGACATAGTAGTATTTTGATTGCTGGTATTCAAATCTGTTCCAGGAAAATCTGACTCCCAGCATGAAAGGAAACAAAAATGGCCCTCTTTAGCAAAGTTTGCTAATTCTGGAATTAAGTCAGTTTGAAGCAGCTAGTATTGTCCAATATTAGCTGGATTTTTACCTTTAACCTTCCAGATATAGGTCTTCCAGATTTTTCATATGCACAACAATTTGCCTGGAAAGGACACATGGAGCTACGAACATGCTGCAATTACACTGCAACTGATGCTCTCTGGGCCTTCTCCTGCTATCTTTATATGAGGTTTACAGCAATTTATAAATGGGTGAGGAAAAAAGCCCTGTTTGGGAGCTAGGGAACCACAAGTATGAACACAGAACTTCATATTAAAATTTTGTAAAGCAAAGTCCGAAGGCTCTTCTGTTTAGAACTACAGGCACAGTTTCTTGTAGATTTAATTAAGAATGTGAATTCGTCAAGTATGAGAGGAGAGCAAGTTTTTCTTTTGAGGGGAATTTGAGAAGTACAATGATGAAACAGATCCCAATCCATTCCAAACAACTTGTGGAGCGCTGCAAAATCGCTAATCTTAGAAGTAACACAGGTTCTTTGTGGCAAACTGCAGCGCACACACACACACACAAAAAAAAATCCTAGCCCTAAACCAGAACTGAGGTAGAACTGGGCCAAATAAAAATACTCTGAAAGATGACTTAACTGCTTAGGTAAACATAAACTGGATAGGTGATCAGACTTAGCTGACATCCATTTGACAACAACAACAACAACAAAATGTCAGAGGCAGGAACTGAGAGAATGATTGCTAAATCTCATCAGGATTTTTTGTGTATATGTATGTAAGAGATTTGCAGAAAGCAGGGAGTAGGAGGTTTACACTTAGGTCTAAATACATTAAACCTACATGGGAATTATTACTATACAGATATCGTATGCCCTGAAATAGAACTTGTATTTTTTTCAGGTCAGTATATTTTATTTTATTTTATTTTATTGGTGGTGAAGAAATAAGGTAGAATTATTCTTTTAGGACCTGATCTTGTAAGGGATGGAACACACTGACGTATAGGTTGCTCATAGATTTAGCCTAAATTTACAGGGGTATATTTGCTGTGCTACTTTCCTACTTAACAGACAAAAGATTTGGCAAGCATATTTTTGTATCATAGCAAATAGAAGACCGTAGCAGCCCTTCATTTAAAATTTGGAGTGGATATTCTCTTAGTACATAAAATGAGCATTTCAAATTTTCAGCTTCTTTTATTTTACTTTTTTTCCCATCAGTTTCTTGCTTTCTAGTACAATCTGACTTTAGTTCACCTTGTTTAAAAAAATAAAATTAAAATAAAATAAACCAAAATAAAATAAACTAAACTATCAGAGCCTGAGCATTGTTACAGTGGGTGAAGATGACCCCAAACTTCCAGAAAGGGATAGATTAGTCCAACAGTGTGGAATATTAAGTAAATTAACAGACATTGTATACACCAAGTGGTCAGAGCTATAATCTTCTTGTTTATCCTAATGTTACATGAATGAGATGCAAATGTTTTAATGCCTGTTGTTGATCTCTGTCCCAGTATAAAGTTCTGGTGGTTTATCCTAGTGGAGTAGATTGGTTCACCGATTTTTGCTAATGCAGATCAGGAATTCCAAAATGTTCACAGCAGCAGGATATATGTAGTTTTACAGGAGTCTGATATATTTGATAAGATGTAGAAACATGAAGGCAGTAAAGTTTGTTGCTGGCTAATGTCAGCAGAGCTATTAGTAGCAAACTTGCCCTCAGTTCTTTATCCCTTCTCCTCCAGGAGTTTACCCAAGAATGAGTTCTTGAGATCAGTAGTTATAATGCAGCCTTAAATTTAGTCTGAGCTCCAGCTGTACTGAATAGCAACTAACAAGGCTTTCCTTTTACTGACAGTTTTACCTTGGTATTCATGATCGATCACAGATGTTAGCCCTCAGTGGTGGGAAAGGAGAAACACTTGTGCACCTTCCTCTTCTTCCATAGTATTTCAGCCTTCATGTTTGAATTGGCTGATGCAAAACAACACTATTCAGAGGTGTTAAATTGTTCAACAAAAGATTAGCCTGCAATGCATTTCTGCTATTGTGGAATGCTATTACTCAGTAGAATGCTGAAGCTTACTATAGAATGGGTAGCATTTTCTTTGCAGAAAGATGGTTCCTGTGTTGTAAAAAGGCTGCAATTTGAGCTATTTGGTAAAACTGAAACTCGCAGATTTCTAGGTGGAGCGTTGTGATTAATGAATGGCAAGCGAAAGCCTTACCTTACACTGGAGATTTAATTAGAGATTCCACTGTAAGATGCAGAAGTATTTCACGCTGGATTAGCTGCTGGGAGAAGTGGGCTTCTTTCCCTTCTAGGCTAAATTGTTTAACTTCTACACCCTTCACTTCATTTGTTTGCTTCTGCTGGATTTTCACTAATGGGGGCCCCTTTCATTGTATTTGTGCTTTCAATCCATTCAACTATTCACTGCACATTCCATATTTTTGTATTTGTGTAACACATTCGTAAATAACATTATGTGCTGCCAGATTCTGGGAAATTAACAAATTTAATTTTCTTTCTTTCTTTCTTTTATCAACTAATACTTTGGGTTGTGTGATGTACATTCTCTAATCATGTCCTGGTTTTGGCTGGGATAGAGTTAATTTTCTTCCTAGTAGCTGGTATAGTGTATAAATCCAAGGGGTAAAACCAAAAAAACCTATATATAAAAAAAGTGATATAATTATTTAGTACAATTTTAGTAGTATTTGAGATTTAATTTAGTATATGTATTTTGTAATATATTTAGCAGTAGTATGTAATCCCTTATTTCTAACAATATTTGTGCCTCTTCTCTTCTCCCTCTCACCCCTTTAAACCCTACTTCAGGTATTTTTTTGCTGTTTTGGCAATCTTAACCATTTTGGGAGTTCTCAATGGATTGGTGCTGCTTCCTGTTCTTCTTTCACTCTTTGGACCGTACCCTGAGGTCAGTAAAACTAATGGTGAACAGAAGAAATGATAATATTATCTCTCCCCCTGCAACCAACCCCTTTCTCTAGAAACTCTTTATTTTTAAAATTCTCTTGGATTTTTTAAATTTTTAAGTTTCTTGCTCTAGTTTTAATTTAAATCTTTATTAAATGTTATGTTTGTTATTTATTTGATATTCTTCTACTTTCTTATACTTTTAAAGTATGGTTTTTTAATAAGTATTGTTTTAGTCACTGAAGCTGTCACAGTAGTGATAGGCTGGCAGTAGGCTGGTCCTGAGGCACTCATGGCACCAAACACTGGGCTTCTCATGTTATGAGAATGAGCCTTGTGGACTAAGCAACCCCTATTGCTAGGTCCTGAATGCCATTCAGGAGAAATTTCAAAAGTGTCCCTGTGAGGGCAGTAAGGAGGTGGTCGCAGCCCTTCCCTTGTTTCCCATTTTGGTTGTCGGCCCTGATGCCGTGCCTGCTGAGTGCCAGCCTCTGGATTCGATTGCAATCTAGGACTCGACTGATACCTTGTCTCTGGCTGAACCACCTGAAAGGGAGACACATGGTTATGCCTCTGACAAAGTAAGGCAAACAAATACTACACTCTTCTATTTTTATCCCAGGAACAACATTTATAATGGTATTGTCCTGGTTCTAACTCTATAAAGGTAGTGTTCTGGAGTCTTAGAACTGTTGATTTTTCCAGACATTTTTTGTCTGAATTTGTTAAAACCTGGAAAGCATAACTTCAGATAAACACAGGACTACAGCTGAAAATATATGCACTTCCTACATACTGCTCCATCTTTTCAAAGGGATGGATAGCAAGCACTTGATCTTAACTGGTTCAACAAGCAGAATTGCAGGCATTTGGAAAAGGCTCCACCCAGGGTACATACACAGGATGTTAGTGGGGTAGTTTGTACAGACTGTAGGAATCTGTTTCTGGATTTCTTTAAAAAGCGTGATGATCAGTGGCCACATCAGTCAATAAACCATGACCAACTTCACATGTGGCTATGCTTGTACCTATTTTTAGGCCTCTGCTGAACAGAGATCCACATTGCAGCTCAGCATGCAGCATCAAGGGGAGCAGGAGACAGAGCTTTATCACTTTCCTTTGAAATTGCAATTATGCCAACCCAGTAGCAAGATGGAACAGACCCAAGATTTGATACAACCCTGAACTTCTTTTTTTCTGGGCTCTATCAATCTTTCTCCCCAAGTGAGCTGTCCAGAGAAGAGGTATATGAGATGGTGACACACAGGGAGCTCTGTGGAAGAGGTTTGGATCTTTTAAACCTCTCCCCACTTTTTTTCCTGGAGGTCACCCAGAACAGTCATTGAATAGACTGAGAACTCTCGCTTGTGGCTGGTGCTAATATGATATAACAACAATTACACATGCTGAAGACCTCAGCTTTGGTACCATAATTTTACCTCCAACTTGATTCTAAAGGAAAGCCTTCACGTCCTGTCTACAAGTGCTCCAAATTTTGGCACAGTCACAAGGCATAATCAGCCAGAAACATGAAAGAAATATTACAGCCTTCCCACAGAAATATATTTAAATTTAAAAAAACCCAACCAAACAAAAAATATTCTTGCCCTCCCTCCAGTCGATATGTGAGCTACTTACAGTGGATCTTGCAAAGACAGGATTCTCAGTGGCTTCCACTATTACTGGATGGACTGATGCCCTAGAGCCTTGAGTAGCCTCATACTGATGGAGCTCTTCACTGATGCCTGACACTGCAGTTTGAGAGCTGTACTCAGAATCAGAGGAATCTGACCCATTATTTGTGTGCCCGGGTGGCAGTGCAAACCTCACAATGCTGGGGGGTGGCTCAGAAGATGGAGTAGGCAATCTGTTTCGTCCACTGGCTGGAGAAACCTGATAATTACAGTGATAATTATAATTACAAGCATTTGGTATCATTCAATTAGCATTACCCTTATTATTATTAGCAGTTGATAGAAATAATCTTTAGCCAAATACACCTTTCCATGCCATGAGAACCTTAGCACTAGATTTCTGATCAACACCTGTATTACACTGAAAAAATGCATGAAAGAAAGAGACATGATCTCCATCTCTGGAGGTTTATGAAAATAGGACTATACATATTCCTCTATGTATCATTGTCTCAGCAAGTGCATATATGTACATGAACATGCACACTTATAAATATACAAATAATTCCTGGACTTGCCTCCTCCCTCAGCATAGATTAAGTGTGATTTCATAAATCATCTCAAATGTGTATGTATAATATGGTTCAGTGTCTAGTTGCAAAGAGAGATGGACACACATAATTGCAATATACGCACATACATACATATATATTGTTTGAATAAGGGACAGGCCATGTATACTGTTAGGAATATAAGAAATTATGCACTTCTGTCAAAACTGTTTTATTAATACTGTATTGGGTGTATGTGGCAAGGTTTTGGTAG